ATTAAAACAGAAAATAAAAAATAATAAGACATCTCCAAGAGGTATGCAAAACATTGACATCAAACAAGGGGTGAAACCCATAGTTCATCGATACTGGGGAGCGCTAACCACTACACTTTCAAAGCCACCACTATGTTACCACTCTTTCTTCGATATTCAGACTATTCATGAATAAAAGCTGCCAGCTTTATTGGGTTTGATGCAGACATGCGCTTATCCGTCGAAACCCGCTGACGGTTGGTTGCTGGAGGCTGCAATAGGACATATCGAATAAAGAGTGGTAGCACAGCGGTGGTATCGGTGCTTTAGTGGCAGCACGCGCCTCTCGTATGACTGGAATACGGGATCAACTTCAGCCTGATGTCAATGCTTTGCATACCATTCAATACTCTTTGATGTGAATCTATATTAAGTCATTCCATAAGTACTAGCAATAAAGGACAAAGGATAAATCTCTCGGCGTTGATCAATCCTGAGATATGCGCCATGCATTCGACTTCAATTTATAACTTCGTTTGAGATAATTGAATGCATATCTGGCCTTTACAATGACTCGCGGTGGCCTCCCGCTGAACCGAGTCAGTGCTGCTTATCCTCCCAGGCAAGTCTGAGACCTGTCTGGTACCAATTTAACGACCCCGGAGGGATGGATGGCTTGGTGAGCCATGAGCGCGAGATCGAACCATTGACTTCGCGTGCGACGCAGAGCACCTCTAACCACTGCGTCACATGCGCTCAAGTACCAGATCTACCAACTAGAAGTAGCTAAAACTGCATTATTTTGATATCGTTCAACTGTGCATTTTCTTGCGAACATTTTGATATACAAGCTGCCTAGACTTGCTTTCAGATAGAGCTGTCTTGGGAACAAACTTGCTTATTAGTCATACACGATTGGCACGTAGGAGACTGGTGGTAATGAAGCGGCGCGCAAGATTAATGGTGCTTGGAGCGATCACAGGGTTGCAGAAACGTAGACTAGGAAGTAGTTCGCGAAGTTAAAGCTGTGGAGACCGATCTGGAGAATAAGTCAAGCTCAGGCCGTCTACTAGAAGCTCCATTAATCTTGCGAGCTTCTTCAATAGCAGTTTCGCGTACACGCCATTCGTGCATGAGTGGCAAGCGAATTCGTTCCCAAGACAGCTCCACCTTAGAGCAAGTACAGAAAAGTTGTTGGTCAAAATATCCGCAAAAAGAATGCGCATTTGAGCGATAGTAAGCTATGCAATTTTGGTTACTTCTGGGTGAGTAAATTTGGTGTTCACTGCTTTGAAGCCAAAACTTATGGGACGACCTGATAAAATCACAGTACTAAAAAACAATTAAAGAAAGTTTCATGTTGGACGACGACAAAAGAATATTCGATTCTTTTCCCTGGAAAAGAATTTTCGTAGGAGTGTTAGTAATCATTCAAAAGCTCAGACCTCTGGCTGCGCGGTACGCGGGCGGCATTTCATAGCACCCCTTTATAACGCTGTAAGATCCAAGATAAAATTTTGTTTCACACGACCACACCTCTTCCTCTTGCCTTGCTTATATTTCGCTGAACAAAACTCCCTCCTTAGAAAGCTAGCACTCATTCGATAGCACAAGTTTCACAGAACTCAAAAATGTGTATGATTTCTGGGAGGCTCTTTTGATAGCACTGTAAGAAAAAGAAAAGGTTTGTGTTTTACGACTCGCTGGATAGAGTTCTTTCTTTAGTCTATTATTAGCAGTCACTCGATAACATAAATATCAATTATTCCAACGCTACGCTCATTTTTCTGAAAATACCCTTTAGCAGGGAAAACATGATCGACTATTACATTCTCAATGAGCTTGTTTACCAGCTAATTCACTGGGCGAGGGGGGTAGGGGCGGTGCAGGGACGGGCGAGGCGGGGCGATCGATCGGGCCTGGACGTGTTGTTATTCTTAAAATTTTCTCCGGTTTGAAAGTAACTTCAGATAAAACGATTGACACTGATACTACGAGACTTGCTCTACACGTTCATATGCTTTTCGTGCTTTCAGCGGATTATATGCGTCGTAAAAAAAAAAGAAGAGCGCATGTAGCGCAATGGTCAGAGGTGCTCTGCATCGCATACGAGGTCAGTGGTTCGATCTCGCGTTCACGGCTCACCAAGCCATTCATCCCTCCGGGGTCGGTAAATTGGTACCAGACAGGTCTCAGACTTGTCTGGGAGGATAAGCAGCACCGACCCGGTTCAACGGTAGGCCACCGCTAGTCATTGTAAAGGCCAGATATGCATTCAAACACCTCAAACGAAGTTAAAAATCAAAGTCGAATGCATGGCGCATCCCTCAGGGATCGATCAACACCGAGAGCTTTATCTTTTATCCTTTGAAAAAAAAAGAGCGCGTGACGAGTGTGAAATATAATTTTATTTTGGATACTACAGGGTTGTCAAAGGTTCGTTTCGAAAACCGGCCACGTAGAGCGCTAGCCAGAGATTTAAGCTTCCGAATGATCATGAACATATCTATGACAAGTTCTTTTCCAGCGAATAGGGTTGAAGATTCATTTGTCGACGTCTAACAGAAAAGAACCCAGTAAGATACAGAGGATTTTTCAAAATGATAATACAATAGAAGGGCAACATGGCATACCGGCACACTCCGCTTCTATGAAAGCGGGAGAATTTGAGGTAGATGAGGACGGAGAGAACGACCTTGAATCTGAATGATGAGACGAAAACCTCCGGCGTGTTGAACTGTAAGGGAGCGGTTTCCCTTCCTAGCAAATAAAAAACCGGTTTTCTCTGAATGAATCATCGACTTCAGCTTAAGAAACAGCTGATAATAATCGCCGGATTCATTCAGAAACACGAAAACTAATCAGCGAAATTCCGGAACAGACAAAAGCTGTAAAAATCGAGACAAAGGTAGATCGGATTTGAGCTAAGCTTATACCGCCCCCCTCCCCCTCCACCTGCCACTTGGCGTAAGCAATCGATAGCTATGCAATGCGTTAGGAAGAGCGGACGAACCCACGGGGAACCATGCGGAGCTCCTGCAGAACTAGGAACTCCTACATCTCCCCCCTTCCCCGTATGGAACATCGATCGACGGTAGCTATGACGAATATTATAATGGTTCGTCTGTAGTTGCGTACACCACGCCTTCAGATTTGCAAGTACAGTAAGAAAAATCGTGATTCCCCATTGGCGAGATCTTGCAAGGCCAGTTGAGATCGATCCATAACCGCCTCAGCTCACGTGGCTGCCCTACCCAGCGGCACGTGAATTTGCCAAAGACCTCCTGGGTCGCCCATGTGAATTCAATTTGTTTTATCTGCTGCGCGTTGCAGCGAAACGGTCTTCTCGGGTTATAAGCGCAGAGTTGGAATCAGCAACGATTACGCTATCGAATGATCACTAATAGTCCAAGGAAAGAGCTCTGTCCTGCGAGAAATATGCGCGTCTGCAACGCAAGAAATCTCCTTCGGTAGTAACGTCTAGAAAGGGTTCTACGAAATCCGGCGACATGTGGGGTTGTAGCTAGAAAACTTAGCCTTTGTATGGCTACTAACACTCCTACGAAACGCTCCTGTCCATCGGATGATCTCCGTTTTCCGTTTGTTCCCTTATACCAGAAAAAAACAATAAGTTGTACTAAACCTTTTGAAGGAGTGCCGATTTCTTATTAGTCATTTAGTTGAATTTTCAGAACTTAGCTCTAACCTAATAATCAATACTATCGATGTCTTCTGAGTTAGTGATGCTCGTATCTTCCAGAAGCAGCAGCCTACTACTCATATCGCCTGGAGGAGAGTGACGCAATAATTCATCATCAACCGTTTTTTCTTATCTTTCGTTTCGAGTGTTTTCTTAAGACTACAGCTCAAAGTTACAATATGCCTGGTGATCATTATTTGAGCCACGCATGTCAGTGGTCTGTCAATGAGGGCTGACTTATAGAGCACGATACATTTGTTTCGATCGTGCGATCTCGTCAGTCGCGCAGTTACCCTTTCTTGTCTTTTGCCAATCCTGTGTAGTCCCTATACTAAGAGTTAGCGACAACGAGCAATCGAGTGTACAACACTCTGTGTTTGGTGAGTTTTCCACTGGACATAGAGTGTAAAACGTTCGTCGTCGCTTGTGGGGACTGGAGCACCCCCACAGAGATTAGCAAAAGATAGAAAGGGTAAACTGCCCGACTGACGAGATCGCAAGATCGAAACACGTGTATCGGGATCTATAAGTCAGCCCTGTTTGATAGACCACTGACATGCGCGGCTCAAAAAATGATTACCAACCGTTTTTTCTATTGAGCAATACCGAGGTGTTAAATATAGTATCTATTGGATACTAGTAATGCAGTACAATAGAGTGAAGCATGAATACAGGACAAATAATACACAATTTTGGTGGCTTACGTTTCGGCGAGGTTCGCCATCTTCAGAGCCTGGAAAGGTCAAATCGATTCGCAAACCATTCGGTCAAAAGCGTCCATAACCTCAGCAGAAAACGTAAGAAACAAATTTTTGGACCGCATAGTAAGAACTTCGTTACAAAAACAGACTCACCCGCTTAGATTTTTTAGGTCTGCCAATTATTGATTGAAGACCTGCCACCTACTGTCAGGACGCAATTGAGACCGTGCCTGGCTCAAGTCGCGATGATTAGCCTGAGGTATGGTAGGTGAGGGTCACGCGTTATTACGAGGCACTCCTCTTTGTGGTTCATTTTTGGGCCTTTACTATGTATTTAAAAGGCTTCCAAAGCTTTACACTCTGATGTTTTTGGTTTTTTTTTTTTGCTATGCGATCCCAATTACGTTTCTTACGTTTCCTACCGAGGTTATGGAGGCTTTTGACTGAATGATTCGTGAATTAATTTGACCTTTCCAGGCTCTGAAGATGGCGAACTTCGCCGAAACGTAAGCCATCACGACTGTTGTACTATTTATGCTGCATTACTTCACTGTATTGTATTGCATTACTAGTATTCTATAAATACTATATTTAATAACGTGGAGTGCTGCAAAAACATTTGCGCCACCCGGGATCCGAACCTAGATCTCATTCTTTTCAGGAGCGGATGCTAACCTTTGCACCACCGACGCTCGTTTTGCACAGCACTCTTTTAGCGCTACAACGTGTTATATAAAAAAGGATAAAACTCTCGGCGTTGATCAATCCCTGAGGGATGCGCCATGCATTCGACTTCAATTTTAACTCCGTTTGAGGTGATTGATTACACATCTGGCCTTTACAATGACTCGCGGTGGCCTCCCGCTGAACCGAGTCAGTGCTGCTTATCCTCCCAGACAAGTCTGAGACCTGTCTGGTACCAATTTACCGACCCCGGAGGGATGGATGGCTTGGTGAGCCATGAGCGTGAGGTCGAACCATTGACCTCGTGTGCGACGCAGAGCACCTCTAACCACTGCGCCACATGCGCTCACGTGTTATATACTATCCTTTATATACTATATTTAACACCTGGGTACAGCTCAACAGAAAATGCTACTGATCTATACCCATTATGGCGAGGTTAATCGATAGTCAGTCTTGGGAATTATCATCATCCCTTTCGTGATCGTGGATCCACGGCCTCTGCATCTCTAACCGGCAACTCTGGACGGTCTGCCCCACCTGCTCCAGATCTCTAATCCCCAGCGTGCTGCGTCCACCAACGGCAGGCTGCTGCGTCTAACAGTGGCACGCTGTAGATTAGAGACGTAGAGGAAGTGGTGCAGACCGTCCAGAGTTGCCAGGTAGAGATGCAGAGGCCATGGGTCCACGCTCCGCAAAGGGTTAATCTATCGCTCTAAGAGATGACCACCAGCCACCAACGGACGCGACGACCGTTCCACGGAGATTTTCCGCTAATAGAAAGGTCGACGGTAGTCGAGACGGATATTGTAATAGTTGTTCTGTACCTGCGAACAGTACGCTCTCTTATCTATAACTACGGTACGAAAATTGTGCTTCCCTATCAGGGTTCGTTGTCTCCAATCTTGTTTCGATCAATACACGTCTCTACAACGGCCCGTTATCTCGTCTAAAGAGCTGCTCATTCTTGATCTACCACTAGTTCTAGGTGTAAGATTTTCAGCTACAATTTAATGACCAATATCGATCTTCTAGATCTCACGAGCGACTATGCGTTGATCTCGGCATTTCTTCATCATTTGATGACGTCATTTGACCCGTATCGGGGCTTTTTTCCCACTGTGCGTGTCCCAGTACTTACAAACTCTTTTTTCTCACTCCGCTGCCTTTGAGGATTTGCGACCTCGATTATTGATCGAGCACGAAAGTCGACAAAAACACATTAATCAAGGAAGCAGTTGAATCTAAGGTGGTTCATCTGAATAACCAGTTGTATGTCATCGATTGGAATAGAGTGGTGAAGACGTGAAGACCACAATTCCACGATGTTTTCACCATCACGACGTCTCGTCAGCCCCACCATCAATAGGGGGTTAAGGAACTTGTAGGGTTAGGGTTAAGTAGGGTTAAGGTCAGGGAAAAGTAGGATCGAGTGTTGGGCTTGTGGCTATGATGAAGCAGGCGAGAGACCGCCGACACGTTCGTCGAAAATGGCTTGGAAATATTCCCTCTGACTTTACATATCCAAGAATGCTATCGTATTGCCTCGGCATAGATCGAGTTTCTTGATGGTTTTTTTTTAACTGCTAAGCAAATCCGAGGTTGTTAATAAGAGTATTTCTCGAGAACAGTAGTAATATAATGTTTGACGTTCGGTGGGACTTTCGCCTCATTATTAGTGTTTTTTCCGGTTTATAGTGCTTTGATTTCTTTTTTCTTCAGTAGGAATCAACTATTCAATCTCTTTTGTAATGTAATACGGTATTATTTAGGGTTACGTACGGCTAAAACCCGCCCCATTCATGCGAGTTTGGGGTTAGTGGGCGGCGGGTTAGGGTTAGGCGCGGTGAGAGCGGGGGTAGAGCCAGCTCCTGACTATAGATAGATCAAATGACATTGTTTCTATATAACCGCTTTTTTGCGGTGGTATGATGTTATACATATATACCCAGTGTTATAGAGTGATGTGCAAAACTTTAACTCCAGGCAGGACTAGAACCCGCACCTCACTCTTTCCGGGAATGCGTGCTCTATCCATTACACTAGCGACGCCCATTTTGCACATCGCTTTTTCTGGGATATGTAGATAAATCGCCAATTTCTGCTCAGTATCGTAGCCACGTATTTTTTTCCTCACACAACCCCTTATCACAATTCACTGAGCGGTCCCTAGTACTTCTTTCAATCGATTCGTTTCCTCTTTCTTCGATCCTTCTCAATGATTTCCGAACAAATATAAATTTATTTATATTCAAGCGCTTTTAGCGGTGATATGATGTTATAGATATTTCCAGTGATGTAGAGTGATGTGCAAAAGCTTTGCGTTAGGCGGGACTTGAACCCGCATCTCACTCTCTCCGGCAGCGCGTGCTCTAAACCCACTGAACTACTGGAGCCCGTTTTGTCACCGCTCTTTTTATGCTACAGCGCAGCTGTCTTTCAGCAAACCAACCGCCAATGGTTTGTCCCAAGTAGTCGGTATCGACATTGAATCCAGTCACGCTGACAGATTTTAGGTGCTGGATGACCAAATTGAATTCATTCCCCGGATAGAGGGAGATGCGGGTTCGAGTCCCGGCTGAGGCGAGAGTTTAGCTTATCACTTTACAACACTGAAGATGTCTATACCATTATACCACCGCTTAGAAGCAGTGAGTGGATGATTGGAATTAGTGGGAGTGTATAGATCCGACAAGCGATCGCTGGTTCGATCCGCTCATTCAGCACTTTTTTTGCAGTCAGTCACTAAACGCCTTAGCTCGTCGATCTGCGAGATTGCAAGTGTTGTTTTGACCAACATGCCACGATATAAGCAAGACGAGAACCTTCAGCCTAAGCCGAAGCATCACGTGAAATGTTTGAAAGGCCATTGATATAGAGTGATGTGCAAAACTTTTGCGTCAACTAAGACTCGAACCCACACTTCCCCCTATCCGGGAATGCGTGCTAGAACCGTTGCACTACCGACAGTTTCTACACCACTCTTTCTATTAATGGGTATGATTAAAACATCATATCAGCGAGAGAAGCGCTCAAATATACAAGAATTATATTCGATCTTCTAGTACTCAATATCTGTCAGTGTGACTGAGTTCAATCTTGATAGCGATTACCCGTGCCATACCGTTGACGGTCGGTTGCTGACAGATAGATGCGTTGTAGCGTAGAAAGAGTGGTGAGCAAAACTGGCGTCAGTATGGCAACGCGTTCGATCACGCGCCCCCGGATAGGGTGAAATATGGGTTCGAGTCCCGGCTGACGCAAAAGTTTTGCACATCACCCTACATTGATAGGTTTCCGAACATTTCACATGGTGCTTCGGCTTACGATAAAGGTTCTCGTCTTGCTCATGTCGTAACATGTTAGTCAGGACAATACTCCTTGAAGTATCGTAAATAGCTGAGCTAAGGCGTTCGTGACTTATTGCAAGAGAGTGTCGATTGAGCGGATCGAACCAGCGATCGCATGTAGGATCTTTGATTTATATACTACCACCTGTATCACCTGTCGTCCCGTTGATCGTCGAGTGACTCGAGCGGGTACCAGCAACTCTTCCATTTTTCCCTATCGCGTGCAAGAGTAGCCCAGTGGGTCCTCCCCGCTCTAGGGATTCGCTAAGCTTCATATCTTTCTTCCATCGCCCCTTCGTGAAGAAATCGGGACCAACGGGTCAGTGGTCTTCCTTTAGAGCGCTTGACGTCCCGAGGAATCCAGTCGGTAACGACTCTCGTCCATCGGTTGTCGTTGAAGCGCATCACGTGTCCGGCCCACCTTATTTTCGATATCCTGGCGTGTGGAACGGTGCCTCTGATTTTCGATCGTTGACGTAGGTCGGAACTTCGGTTCCTTATATGCTACCACTAATTTCAGTCATGCACTCACTGATATTCTAATTTTACTCACTAATTTTAAGTTCAGGGTTTTCAACTACAACTTAACGATGAATACTATTGGTTTTTTTGATTCCCAAGGGCGATTATCTGGTAACTTCGGCATCACTTTATCGTTTCATGAGTCTATTTGACCCGTATCACAGTTGATTTCCCACTGTGCGGATCCCAGTACTTCTAGCATTTGATTCGTTTTTTCCTCTTCTTTTTGAACGTCGTTGAATACCGGATGAGCAAGTCTCCTTGCAATCTCATTAAACAGCTGTCCATGGCGTTCCGTAGGGCGTTCGTCATTGACTGCTGGGGAGTGCTGAGGAAGCGGGATCAATCCCGTGCCGCACTTTAACGAGCATCGCAACCACTCAGCCACGGCCTTACTAACCTCGGTATGAATTGAGTAATTTATGACTTTGTCTTGATAAGCAGATAGGAGGATGTTAACTATAATTCATTATTGAATACAATCAAAATGGCTGTCGCTTTGACGATGATTTCGTCGTATTCGGAGCCGTTTTATTCTCTTATGGTCCATCAATTGATATTTAGACCGACCGCTTCGCACAGTTATTGACAACTTTGGGTTCCTTGTGGTGGTTATCAGGGATAATTGAAAAACTGACCTTATCTGCTGGACAGGAACTTTTCACAGGATTGTTAGTAACTATTTGGAAGCTGAGATTTCTGGCTACAGCCCCACGTCGCCGGTTTGTTGAAACACCCTTATATAACGCTGTAAATTGCCACAATACAACTAGCCTCTGACGCGCATATTTTTTGCCGGACAGAGCTTGCTTATCAAGGAGAAGTACCTTACTGATCTTTGCTTAACGTACTACTCCGGCTTCTTTTTCAATGGGAATTGATTGCTCTGATCCCAATCGATAACATTTCTTTTCAAATTTACCGCTTTCTATAAGGATATGATGTTGAAATTCCTATCCAGAAAAGATTGAATGAGACGCAAAAAAACAACCTCAGGGGAGAGTTGAACTCGCGTTTCATCCTTACTGAGGGCACGTCTAGATCAGCTCAAATGAGTTAATGCGCAATATGTATTCACTCAGAGGAAGCCCGTTATCGATTGCCGAGAGCTTTGATAGTTCACATCGAGGAAAGAGCGGTAGCAAAGCGATGGTTTCGGTAGTGTAGTGGTAGCACACGTCGCCGGTAAGAGTGAAACGCAGGTTCAGCTCCCGCTGAGGGCGATTTTTTGTGTGCCATCTCAGTCTTCTTAGTATAATTTTCAATTAATAATATATTTCGGTGAGCATTTATAGTGACAGGTGGCGAAAATTCGTTTCAATGGGTATTTTTGGTTGGTGGGCGGCGTGTTAGAGTGCAGTGGAGGAGGGAGGGGGAAGGAATCCCAATCGTAGAGTAGCGAACAACTATTTGCTTTGTCAGCTTCGTGGCCATAGCTGTGCGATCTCTAAGAACTTCTTCTGTTAGGTTCGTTCCCTTTCCCTTTTGAATACTCCTCAAAAGCTTTCCAGCTTCTCACGTGCTGCTTCGGCTTACGCTTGAGGATCTCCTTTTGTTAATATATCTCGGAAATACCAGCCAAAGAGCAACCGAGTGCGCAAACGCTCTGTATTAGGTGAAAATTTCGCTTGACATAGAGTGTAATACGTTCGTCTTCGATGACTCTCTGTAAGGGAGTAGAGCTCCCGAGAGAACTGACTAAAAATATCGGAAGACGACGGGTTCTGCCCCGACTGACGAGTCTCTAAGGACGAAACACGTGTATCGGGCTGTACAAGAACCCTTACCAGATCACATGACAAGTTGGCTCAAATAATAATGAAAGGATCTCGAGGAATGTTAGTCAAGACGAATCTGCTTGCAGTCTCAGAAATAGCCATGCTAAGGCGTTCGTGACTAACTGCAAGAGAGTATCAAGAAGCGGAGCGAACTACCGCATCGTTTGTCGGATCTCTTACTCATACACCGCATCACTAACCACTGCGCTTTTTTGATGGAGGTTTATTGTCTCCATCTCAATTAGTAATGTATTTAGGTAAGGTTTATAGTGAAGGCAGGGGCTACAACTTCTTTGTGTGAATATGGCTGGTGAAAGCGCGTTTAGCGCAGTGGTCAGAGGGCAGTCGATAAGTCTTTGGTGAATGGTTCAATCCCGCGCTCAAGGCTCATTAAGCCCTTCAAGCTCTGCGAGTTCTGTAAAATGGTATCAAATTTGGCTGGGAGATGCTTTAGAAGAGGATAGATGAAGGCGAATGAACAGCGCATCCATTAAGGGTTGATTAACGCTGAGAGTTTCACTCTTTTTATCCTTTATATGGCCCATTTTTCCCTCTATTTTCATAAGGCGGAGCTTCTCGAAGCAGCCACTGGTTACTTTTTTGGTGATGAGGGAAGCAAACGTTGTTTGATGATGTTATCAGAGTGTTACTTACAAAGTATTTTATTGATTTTGTAACGGCATATCGTCGCTCATAAGTGTTTTTCTTTCCTAATCACCTGATTTTTCCCGTCTTTGCTCCGCTCGTTCTTAGCTAGTTATAAGACTTATGAAACAAGCCTATAGCGTTCTTCGATTCTTCCTGTGAGGTTGTAGAAAAGTTCTATCGTATTCCCTAAATACATGGAAAAATCTATAAAGATAGATTAATAGTCGAAGTAGTCTCCTTCCACGTGCAGAACGATTTTGCCGCGTGTCCGGCAGCACAAAGTTTCCTCGGCGATAAAACTGGCAATCCTTCGATTTGAAGAAACTTTAAAGGTTTGGCTCGATTTCGGGTACGGTCCGGAAGTTTTGGCGGCTTGTGATGAACACAGTTTATGGCCTCGAAATAGAGTGCGGCTATCGTCGACTGTCCTTTCTTGAGCAATTCTCAATAAACGACTCCGGAATAAGTCTAAAAAAAAAAGCCAGCAGTCCACTCCGACAACCTCAGAAGCGTTGACATCCGATTTGTAGCGGAAGTGGAGCAGCAGATAAATTGCTTCCTCTGGGCAGTTCTTCTCCGAAGACTGTGTAGACAAATGATATATCGTTCAATTCGCGAAAAAAACTAGCTTTCTGATGAGCTCAAATTCGCACTGAATACATGTGTTAGGATCATTTTGTCAGGCAATACGACGGATCTTTTTTACAACCTATTGAATATGCTAGCTTTTTTCGTCTTAAATCAACGTGGAAGAATGAATTACACCTATACCTATATACTGATTGTTTCTATGGACCCTGCTTAAAAACAACATATAATCTGGTAAAGATATAAGATGCTTTCAGCCATTAAGATCTAAGTGCTGGACGGGCACCTGTTTTGTCCTACTTAGACTTCTCAGTAGCGCGCTCCTCTGTCTTAGCCGATCCTTTGAGGCTATACTCCTCTATCAAAGAATCGACGCCGAATAGTAAATCACCGCAGGTCAGGTGATGGAATCCCCTGACATGGCAGAAACAAGCAGTCGAGCTTGTGGCTGCTAAAATGTCTATAAAAAAGCGGTCGAATGGAGAGGTATGATCCCTTTTAGCAGCCCAC